TATTCGCTTTCATCGAAGAAATTTCGCAAAGAATTTCTCGCATCGATTCCTGGATACAAAACTTACTGGTTGAAAGCAGAACATCAACGTTTACCATGATTCATTGCTGTCAGCTAGCAATCAAGCAGATATTTTGATAAACTTTAACTCATCCACTGTGCAGCGAAAATCTTCTTAGTACATACCAAAAGTAGAACTATCAGCACTATAACATTTTTTTTAGAAAGTCTGAAAGAACTTTTCCTGCATATCAAATGGTAGTGCACTTTATACTCTAAAATTCTTTAAGATTTTATCATTTTTCAGCTGATATTATATGATGTTGAAAGTGATCCAGAAAGAGTGTCGACTTGATGAAAGAAATAATAGAAACAAATCTATCAAGTTTTTATTTCATCAGATGTTCGAAATAGTGGCGTTAGTTGTTCACGTACGATTGCATCCGGTGGATCTATTTCTTAAGAATTTTGTTCCATATTTTCCTTTTTTCCTACGAGTTTATCAACTTACTGCTATATCCAAACCTATATCTACACTCTGCTTGTTTAGGCAGCTGTTGTATATTCAAAAGAGGATGTGAGTGTGGGTATAGGTGTTATCTTTCTATTCATCGACAGCGATGCCCACACCCACACTCCATATAACTTAAATAAAAATATATTTGACAGTGTTAGATTGAACATTAATTCAGATAATAATTCGATAGCTGATTCAGATTCATCATCAAATTCTGAATCTGATTCTGATGATGAAACAATGGAAAACAATGAACTTGATAACAATCCGTTCAAGTTGGATGACGAAGATCGAGATGTGACAATCATACAAAATGTTGATGAAATTAAAATTAATAAGATGGACTGTAATGGTATACGTATATATGATTCGATCAATCCAGCAATGAAGAGCCCTTATTCTCAGGGGAAGATAAATAGGAAGCCTAAATTTATATATAAGCAAACGGCTTGTTGGTTATTGACCGATAAAGGTAGCCGTTTATTGGCTGATAGACTTTCACAAATGATACAAACAAACAAAAAGATTAAAATTCTTCATAAAATTGATATCGAATTGAAAGAACACTTCTGATGGAAATATACAATCTTGTTTCTAAATTTTTTGTTTCCACTTTGTATCACGCTGTTTTTTTTACATGACTGCACAACTAATATACTACTGTTATTTTTTTCTTACTTTCTCTTGCTTTGCTCTATTTTTGTTTCATACCTTATATAGAGAAGGAAACAAACTGTTAAGTAATCAAGATAATTTGTTATCTTCCGGTTTTCTTTTTACTCTATTCATAATACTTGTCTTTCTAATAAAATTTGCTTATATTCATTAACTTATGAACGCCTCATCACACAATCGTGATGAGTTGCAACTAATTGGTGACGAAACGAGATTGAAAATTTGATGGAATATTGTTTGGCACGTACTTTGTCGTTATGATTCAATAAATATGTTAGATTAATTTTTGAGTAATTTTATGTTTTATCGATTTCTAACTAAAAATGCGAAGAAAAACGAATGTGTTATTCTATAGCGTCTGTCGATCATTTGATCTTTCTAATCTTAGACAATTTACATTAAGTGAAAGCATAACCTGTAAACTGAGTCGATCGATTAAGAAGCATTTTCAGAATACTCTTCAAATGAGGGAATGACCATTGGTGTACAATTGAAAGAATATCGCTCCTATGTTTAGATCATATAGAGTATACCTTCATAACATTTGAAAAGATTTGCTTGTTGCAACGGACTTGAGTACAACGTTTAGTCCACCTGGCTTCCTTGAACAACACATCACTTCACAGAATTTTATTTTGACAATGAAGTATTTTCTTGGTGATTCCATTTTTAGTGGTATACACAAAATTTAAAAAGTGATGGCATTTGACATTTTTCTTCGGTTTCCTTGAGCATACCCCATAGAGAACCGTTTCATATCTTTCTTTTCATTTACATTTTTTAATGTCGTCGGTTTAGATATACACGTTGAATCAAAACGATTTTTCGGATATCCCTTATTTTGGAAGATCTGAGAGAAGCACTTCCAAGTTGTCACTTATTGTTTCTGGCCCTATCCAAATAATCATCAGTGTGCAAAGATACCTATCATAAACCAAAGTAAATGCCTGCTTAGCAATGCGAATCAGTAGTGAGACACTGCTTCATGATAAGTGATGACGTGTTTGTCTTCTCGGAATGTTGATAAAGAAGAAATCTATTCTTATCATGGAAATATAAGAAGCTGTCTGAGAGATAATTCTCTTGTCACATAAAATTCTACCCGAAAAATTGCTCGTAGCTTCTCGAAGTGTCACTACATTGTAAGAAACACGCAGAATAATCAACCTTGCTGCTGAAAAACAATCTCCTATCAACTCTTGAAAGATTCAGATTAGTAAGAGTATAAAATGCGTCTTTCAGGATTTCATATTCTTTCTCTTAAGTCCGCATTATTCTATATTATCATTTAAAGTGTTTACTGTTCGACTAATACATTGCTTCCATAGCATATACAACGGAACTTATGGGGTCTCATGGTACTCTAATACATTATGTTCGAAAAAAAAGCTCACTCAAAAGATTTCGAACTAGCCTAATCATTTTTCGTTCATAGTCTAGAATATAAGAATCGATTTTCACTACTGAGAAACTCCAATGACCTAATGTTGCTCTTTTGCTAACCTATTTAGGTTCATTTTTTGCATAGCTTCTTCTTTACAGTCTAGAAAATATCCGGAAGGCTTTACTCACTTTGAAAAATATAAATGTCAATAGAAAAATCATTTACCAACACGTACAATCGTTATAGAGTAAAGAATATATTCTCTGAAAGGTTCATGAAAGTGTTTTGCAAGATTTCATAAGCAGCAACAATAGTTTTTTATTCGTTATATTTTTATAAACATAAAACTTTGAGACGTATCTTACTTTACTTCTTTTTTTTTCAGTTCGATCAATTTTGCAGTACGTGTTCTTCTTGTAGCGATGCTCAGTGATATATTTTTTATTCTTAACTTTTCATTTTCCATTTTGGCTTCAAGTATCACCTTGTTTATCTGTTTTGCAATTATTGTAATCTTTATCATTAATCGACCATGTCGAACAGTAAATCATGTTCCTGTTGCAAATATATCGCTTATTGCCGTTATGTATTCTGTCAATAGTTTAATCGAATCTGTTTATGGCTTTCGTGAAGATTGGGCGAGACAACAACCACTGTGTCAAATTCGAGGCTACCTTTACTTCGTATCGTGTGTGGGCATTAGTTATTCATATGTGATCGAAGCATTTAGTCGTCTGTTTTTCAGTGTATTTTTCAAATACAGATATCTACTCACTTACCGAGTGCATTGGTCTATGGTAGCAGCGAACTGGATCATTGCTTTTGTATGTGGAACTTTGCCACTATTACTCGAACGTGGGTTTATCTTCGAAAGTGAATCACGTGTTTGCTTAATGACCTCGCAAAATTTCTTGGCATCAATGTCTGGTATGGGAGTTGGTTTTGTTGTGCCAGTCATTGTATCAAGTTTCACTTATGGTGTTATTTGGTATCGTGCTCGACAATCAACACGACGCATCGGAGCTAGAGAAGCAGACAGAACAACAGCGTCTATGCCAAATGCGAAATGTGAAATAAAACTGGTTCGCAATATGCTTATGTTGCTGAGTGTATTTGTTAGTGGAGGTTCACCATTTGTGTTTCTTGTTCTTTGGCAGAAGATTGCATCACAGACTCCACCACCAGAGTCATTTTATCTGTTAGCGGTCAATGTCAATGCTATATCATTATGTGTCATGGTAATGATGACTGTTCTCTTCTACATGAACAAGCAAGTGAAGAGTGCAGTTCTTGCCTATTTTAACTCTCAACGTCACCGTGATCATCCACCACTCATGCAGCGGTCGACCTTACCATGTACGAAAAATTAATCGAACTTCTGATATTAGAAAGACAGTAAAGATACTCTGTACATTTGAAAACTTTACTTATCATATTTTTTTAACAATTTCAATTACACCGTTAATTTTTCAATATTTATTTTAATGATTTCACAGAGCTTATTTTCGAATGTACGCAATAAAATGTCTACCTTGGGTGGGGATGTGGATATAGAGTGTGAATTTGGTGTATAGTTCTCGTGACTGTTCTTCTCCTCACTCCCACATACCCCCTGATACCCAGACCAACATCCACATGCACTCCATACACTCACACCCGTCCAAACACACCCCAATGGTCACATCTAATTGTTCTCATATTGTTGAGTTTAATGGCAATTATACACAGCTAGTTGCTCTTGTAACAACGACGCTTTCCAAGTCAATCCTACTCGGTCGTACACCAACCAACTACGGCGGATAACGGCAGTAGTTTGCGTGAGCCGTATACGGCCATCGTAAACAATGACCGTAAAAAGCTGCCGTTAACGACGAACGTACCAATACGGCAGCTCTTTACGCTCATCGAATAATATCGCAAGGCATTGTATGCGTCAACTGTGAATCACTTAGAAAAGGATCGTCGCTTTCTATCATAATTGTTCTTTTAACCAGCAGCCAATCTTGACGAACTGCTCTTATCGAATATACGCAATCTGTGCTCGTCATCAGTTTTACATATCGCTAGGTAACAATCGTTGCGCTTCAGCAAAGTCAAATAGCTTGTGATGCGTTGATGGGTGTGCCTGGAGATGTACGGTATTGGAGGGTGTAGTAGTTGATGTGAATGATTTGGCGTGTGGATCTGCTCTTCATCTGTAACTATCCCCACATCCATACCCACAGCATATGACAAGATAAGGTGTGGACGTGTGGGTCTTCTATTCATTGGTGCCCACACTCATACCCTCAGTCTTTAATATTTGCCGGGTTCAGATCCACAGAAATGTGAACCTGCAGCTCTCTACTTCTGATAAAAACTGTCATACATGCACATGTATTAGTTTATTATATCACTATTCTGTACTATATTGGAACTTTCGACATTTTTTATTTGTGTCGACGTTTGACTACTTCGTCATTCAAACTTATGGAGACACCCTATAGATAATCGTCGAGGGAAGTATATGAGAACTGATTAATGTTTTATCTTTTCAGCATCAAATCTCTCAGAACTATAATATGCAATTGTTATCATTATTTGATGAGGTTCGATAAAATGTCAACAATGAATATCCTCGCTGTCATATTATTGCTCGTTATGAAAAACTCAGATATTACGGATTTGCGAAGTTTACAATTGAGACTTTCGTTATCTTTAGTAATGCGACTAAAGATGCGACAGAAATTAATAATAACAAAGAGACTTACAGTAATTAATAAGTGAAATAAGGCTTCTAGCTTGTGTACGCCTGATTTACTCGTAGAATAAATTCAAATCTGTTTTTTTCTTGGAAATTTTTCCTTTGATTTTGTTTTTTTTTAAACGTAGATCCGATCGGCACTAAAGTATCGTTAACTCTCCATGTCACATTTCATATAAAACAAAAAGAAAAAATGTCTCATAATAACCTTTCGTTTTTTTCCTTGTTTGAAGTCAATATATTCCTGTACAACTCGACAAATGTTATGAAATCATGTAAACTTATTGCACAAGAAAAGTTTTAGCCGATATTTCAATCAATCTTGTCATTTATATGTTATTATTACATTGTTTGATAAAACGAATGGAAGATAAGAATGTGTTTGATTGAATTATCATGCAACTCCATTTTTCTTTCATTGTAAACCTTTTCTAGCTTTGCAGTTTTTCATAAATAATATTCCAAAATATCGTGATTTGATCTGATTCATCTTTTACTGGAAAAACAACGAGTACGACATCAGATATATTTTACTGTAAACAATCATCAAATGATCAAAATAATTACATATATCTTATTTTTACATTATTTCTATATGCTTGAGTCATATCAACAATAAAAAGATATTCATAATTCGGGTGAGAAAAATTTTAAACAGAATCGAAAAAACAAAAATATTTGTTTTAATTGCAAACAGTTTTCGATGAACTTTCTACAGAGTCGAAAATGATTAATTCAAGTCTTTGTCAGGCTTCAATCTGATTTAGTCTTTACCCAAAGATGAAAATCTATACAAAGATTGGACTTCGATTACTTGTTCTGACGTACTCTTCAATGATAACAATAATGCAAACAACGAACGACTACTTGCTCCTTCAACAAAATAGTTTCACAGTAGTGCCACTGCAATTTCTTATATAATTCAATATTTTAAAGTTTCACAATAATTAATCAAACGAAATGAGTGGGTGATAAGAAAAAGAGCAGAAGAGAGATAAATAGAGTCATTGTTTGCTTTTTTTGTCTCTCATTTGAATGAACGTCCGCTTTCTTCATTAATTGATTGCTATTATCATCAAGACTATATAAGTCATTGATTCGATTCATTCTTATTCATTTCAAATTGAAGTATATACATGAACAATATGTTTTCGAATAATAATGCAACAACAACTCAATTGATTGTCAATGATTATTTCACTTGGCGTTTAAAAAATAAATCATCAACAACAACTAATCGATTATTTATTCTTGTTCGTCGAATTGGTTCTGAAAGTGAACGAATGTTTTCTCAACAGCCTGTGATTGATTTTCGATGTATTCCATCATTTCGATTGAACAAATTCAAAAACATGCATTACGTATTCGCCAATGTATTATTTAATAATAGACAAATAACATGGTCTCGAATAATTACATTCATTTCATTCTCAGCATTAATAGCTGAACATCTTATTAAAGAACGAAAACAAGACAATATGGATTTAATTATTTCATCTGTTGTTGAGTGGACAACAGATTTTATTGACATAAATCTTCACACGTGGCTTGAAAGTCAAAACTATTGGGTAAGTTAATCTAATGAAAAAAAAATTTTATCTTTTTGTTTTGTTTTAAAGGCTGGTTTTTTGAAAATTATTGATAAAACCGCAGAGCAACGAAATTACATTAGTCGATATGTCAGTATTATTGAAATAATAGGTAATTAGATTTAAAAGAATTGTGTATCTTAAACAAAATATACTCTTGTTATTGTAGGTATTGTTACACTTGGTCTATTATATATGAGACAATGATGAACTTTATTGCCATTGTGATTGGATTTTTTTTTGTAATAATTATATATTGTACTTATCTGTTTGTTAAATAAATACATGTATAAAACTTAAATTTTGTTTTTGTTCTTGTATATAAACTAAGTATGATGATCATGAATAGTTGATATTATTTCATAGAAATACAAGACAGAATGATAATTAGACTAAACAGGATAACTTGTTATTGAATGAAGAGACAATTGACTGCAGTTCTAAAATGTTTTTAAAATACGAGAAGTGTTCAATGTCACATAATAACTGTAAAGTATGTTCTCTTTTAAAAAATGAAATTCATTACAGAGAAGATTTCTTAGTGTTAGTAGGATGGAAGAAAAATCTTTTCTAATGGAATTCTTAGTATTTCTAACTGACAATGAAAGAATAATTCGTGAAAGTTCTTTATGATGTCAAGAAGGCTACTCTTCATCCTACTTTTTATCGATAATATTCAGGCAATGTCTAGTGATAAATATTATGTCCTAAGATGCCTTAATTAAGATAAAACCTGGTTTGTGCGAACTTTTTCAACATTGAGATGAACACGTAATAAATTTGTTAATTGATTTCTTTTCCAAAACAGTATCATTGTTTTCTATTTTAGAAATATGGTCTTAAGCAAAAAAAACATTTTCTACTGCTTCTTAATTTGTGCTATCTTAAACAGCAGTGTCACATATCCAAGATTTTGGAGATGCCACCACGTCTCCCGCGGGAGATGCCGCATCTCGCGCGAGAGATGCAGGCGTGGGTGTGGGGGATGCGCATCTCTACAGGAGATCTTACATCTCCAGTGGTGAATGACCACATCTCTGGAGTGTGGGTGTCGCGTCTCCCGCTGGAGACGCGGCATCTCCCACGGGAGATGTGGTGGCATCTCCAAAATCTTGGATATGTGACACTACTCGAATTTTCCGAACAATACAATAAATGAAGTATATTGAAATGTAGATGTAAAACTTTCACGATTTTGTGTTCATTCAATGTAGTTGTACTGCTTAAGAATAGCAGCAAAAGTTACCTTTTGAATTTTGTCATAAAACTTTCCATAATAATATGTCTATAATAGAGTACCATGAGATTCGACATTCTTTGATCTAAATAACAATAAATCACAAATCTAATAGTATTGAAATAGAACTCGTGAAAAGGCTTTATAAAAACCTTCATGAGTCAGTATTCTTGATATTCACAAAGAGCATCACACGATAGAATTGAAAAGTACCTTGAAAATATAATAATTTCGATAATAATAAGAAAGAAGCACAAATTCTTTTTAAATATTTTCTCAACTGATTTCATTGAACGTTATTAATTCAGTTCTAATTCAAAAGTGATTAATGATATACACAAAAACTTTTCTTATGAAATTAATTGTATCTATATTTCTTCTGCTTATTTTGTAATTAACACAATAATTGTAAGAAATTTTATTTAAATACAAAAATTATTTCCAAATTGAATTCTTTCTTCAGCTATTTTATTTTAAAAACTATTTCTTTTTGTATGAATACTTCATGAGTATCAAACAACAAAAAATTTATAGCTGATCAAGTTAAATAAGATATATATATTTATTTATTTATATCACAATTGAATATCACTATCGAATTGCGAAAATACAATGACAAAAACCAAGCAAACATAGCACACCTAGTTTTATAATACATCTATGTATTTTAAAACAGGTAAAAATCACATACACTTATATTGCAACTATTTTTCTGTCTATACATTGTTTCTAATAATCTGCTTTATTATGGAGCAATTATATTAGATGCGCCGATAGAAACAAATAACCATTAAAATTGCCAACGTTCCACTGAGAACAATGCCAATGGTTGATAAACATGAATGAGGTACAGAATTGCGTAAGATAACCAACTAGAAGAAAAAAAAATTATGTGAAATAACTAAATAAACATGATTACAAAAAATAATTTACCGAACTGCTCTTGCGAAAAATCTATGGTGCAATAGTTCCTCTTACAAAACGTACAGTCCATTCAACAACATTTAAAAGTAATGATGGTTCATCTTTTAATAACTATGATTTAAAAATAAGCAAATTAATTTTTAATTCGTTTTAGGATTGAAAAGTAAGTATTTACTTTTGAGATAAGCTTATATGTAAAATAAAGTGCTACAATTCGTCCACAATTATAAATATCATTACAAAAACGTTCTTTAGCAACGTCAACAAATGTTTCATATGGATTATTAATAGATACTTGATCGACCATACTAGAATAAAAATTTTTCTTCATAATTAAATTCGTATTTTTTAATTTTGTAGAAAAAAAAAATTTAGCTGAAAAGGAAAAATCAAGTTGACAAGGTAAATAGCAAACAATGTGTCAATTTCTATCTTACCATCTAATTTTCTTATTTTGAAAATAGGATTTTTCTATTTTAATATTAATTAAAACTTTCAAATTTATTCTTTATATTATATACCCTTTTATTCGTTCATCAGAATCGAGTTGATCACGATTGAATTGTAAGCGATGACATGCTTGTCGAAATCGTCGATATTGTATAACTAAGTTAAATAAATATATAAGTGTTAAGATATTATTCAACAAAGACATTCTCACATTTATCAAGATTAGCATCTATAATTTGGGTGGGTGTGGGTATGGGTGTGGATGTTTCTTTTCTCTATGCACACCCACACCCAGATCTCGTATTGTTATGTTTTTTAATATATCATCATCAAAACAACAGTTAACGTTATAGTATTATCATCCGATAGAACGATTTGATAGTTCGAATTTAAAAAAGAAATAATCAGTTTTCTTTTTTTTGTTGTCTTTTAAAGCTCAATGGATATTTATTTATTTTTAACTAAAAAACAAATGCTTTTTTATGTTTATATAGAACATTAGCATACTGGATTTGGAATTTAATGGCTGAAGATGACCAACAAGATACACAATGACAAGAACAAACTTTTTGATCACCAGTACCACACTGTTGTGATTATTGTTTACGTATTGTTTCGAATTCTATCTCACAAGAAAAAAGAAGATCAAATTGAAACTTGTTATTTGTTTTAGCTTCGCTTGGTTTTGAAGATGGTGAAGATATGTAATAGCAGTCAGTACATTTGGAATTGATGTTAATTTTAGATTTAGAATCAAAATATAGGTAAACATATACAATGATTCATTTCTTATTATTCGTGTCTTTTTTTTAAAGGGAGCATTGCAACCCGTCAAGATTTTTTTTCTGGCTTTCGTAACGAATTGACAGTACGAAAGCCCGTAACAGAGCTTTCGTAACAAAAAATCAGGGGTTTCATAACAAATTTTACAGGGTTATCGTAACGGGTGTTTTGACATGTACCATTACAGAGCTTTCATAACGAAAAGCATGTAATTTCTGCAAACTAAGTCCAGCTATCACCCTCATCCTCATTACGAAATCCCTGTTGCTTCGTTGCGAAAGCTCTGCAACTCTTACGAAATCTCGGTATTAATCGTTATGATTGCCCTGGAAATTTCGTTACGACATCCTTGTATTTTTGGTGTTACGAAAGGTCTGATTTTTGCTGTTTGTTCAATTCTTCACGTGACGAGTTGCAACCTTCTCTTTTAAAGCATTATAGAGCATCTTTAACTAATGAACAAATAAGTCAAGAACTTATACATTTAAATAAATGACTACAGCTACGAATTTAATACAGAAATGTAACTGATCGGTATTATCGGTTGGAAAATATTTTATACATTTGTTATTTTTCTCTGATAAAACTTGTTGAGAACAATTTTGCTTCCTCGTATCAAAATAATCAAACAGTATTATTTTAAGAACTGGGTTAGGTTCATTTTCTGCTGTTCATCTACACTGTTTCATTTTTTTTTGAAAAACACAATCAAAACTGTCTTTCTTGAGCTAAACTTATATCGCACATATATATGATTTGGTAAAGGTCAAATTTAAGTTTGGATAGTCGTTCGAAGAGAAATGGATGGTACCTATTTTTGTTGTCAGCCTCATAACCGTAGCAATAAAGAGTATTCTGTGTCATTCGACTCTTCAATATCTAATGCAATGTCTCACGAGGAAATCGCCTAAGGTGTCCAACTCCGTTTTGATTTATTCCTACCTCATGCGATAGAGCATATTGAGATTTAAAACAAAGCCTATGAGAATTTGGGCTTATGGCTCTTTCTTCAAAAGGTACAGCCGTTTTACTGAATTTTCGACCCGTTCCTAGCTCTTTGCCGGAGAAACTAAATTATTGAATTTCGACCTGAAATTTTGCCTATATATAGGTCAAATGATCTTTAGAATATCGTGAAAGTTTCAGTCCAAAACCATGTTTCTTTCCTAAAAATCATTTAACCTATATATAGGCAAAATTTCAGGTCGAAATTCAACAATAATTTAGTTTCTCCGTTAAATAGCTAGGAACAGGTCAAAAATTCAGTAGAACAGCTGTAACTTTTGAAGAAAGAGCCATAAGCCCAAATTCTCATAGGCTTTTTTTAAATCTCAATATGCTCTATTGCATGAGGTAGGAATGAATCAAAACGGATTTGGACACCTCGGGCGGTTTCCTTGTCAGCACAAAATCATGACCATTTATAGATTGTGGTTACATTGCTCATTGTTCATTTATTTATTTAGTTTTTTTTATCTGTTTCGGTAAGCTATGGTTTGCACTTTTTAATTGGTTATTATTAAAAAGTTTACGAAGTCTTCTGTTCCTGATTCATATTTATACTGTAGTAATATGATTGGACTTAATATGTTCTCTTCAACTAGTTCATCAAATTCACTCAAAAGATTTTTACTCAAAAAATAGTTTTTTTTCTAAATGTTAATATTTTCTTTTTTGTCTTTATCCAACAGTTATATACTGCATTAAGCCAATAGATTTTTCGTTTAATCATGTTATTTTGATACCTGTAACTTCCTTGTCTTCTTATAAAGATAGTTTTCTACTTTCATTCAATTATTATCCTAATATTAGTATGTACCAAAAAAAAGTATACAGGCCTTCACAGGCAAATCAGGCCGACGAAAAGTCGACCTGTTTGGATCTCTGTTGGGCATGCTTCGGTTCATCGCTAAAAGTCGTAACGAGGAATTCCAAATAACATTTATTGAATACAGACTCGTTCTCGATAAGATCGATTATTTTAATCTAATAAAAGAATTTCCATATCGTTTCTTATGAAAGTATATTAAGACTAGTATGATTAGATTGAAAACTTCCCATAGTCAGCAGTGAATAAATAATTTTTTTATCATAAAAGTTCATCAATTTCTCCGTTGGTTTGAAAAATTAATCTCGTTTTCGTCTTTGATCGAAGAAAAATATCGAATGTTGAATAGAATGAACTGACGCATCTCACTCACTCTGCTCAGAATAGCTTCGAAAATGAGAAATTCTATTTTTTATGAGAACCAAAACATTTTTGAGAAGTTCAGTTTATCCCAGCTCTCTCATAGTTACGCCACTACTATATGTGCGAGACTAAGTTTTTTTTGTCGTCCTCGTCGTAATTATTTCGTTTTTCGCAATAACAGTTACAATCTTGATTTCGACCTAGACAAAATTATTTCAAAATGTGAACATATGAATTCCAAAAAAGGTTTCAAAATTGTGATTCTTCAATTTATTGAGTCAACGAATGTCTCACTGTATTTAGTATTTTTTCTTCACTCATGTTACGATTGACATAATACATAAAACAATCTGTTCAGATACAATAGAACATTTAAGTACAACTTTGGTCTCAGTTTCGATACCAAGTACACTTTCAAGTTTGGTTTCATTCCCGGTCTTTTTAACCGAGATTATCATCGATCTCATACATTTCTAGATCCAAACAAACCAACTACGGTCTATACTTCTTATATTTTCACGTGATATTTATTTTTTCCAATTCAACTAAATCAATGGTATTCTTTTATCAAACGATACATTAGACAATTTTTAAGTAGACTTCTAATGTCTGATTGATATACTATATCTTATTCTAAACATAATATTACGTGTTATGAAAAACAAGCTACATGATAAACGTTCCGATAAAAGAAAATGACCGGACGAACGGACCACTCATAAATAATAATAAAAAATGTTAGACAGAATAGAAAATGCCATCAGCCATCCATCGTAGTCGAATATCATGACAAGAATGTTTTTTTTTTTTTCATTGTCCTTACAGACAGAAATGAGCAAAGTATAGAGATATATAAAATGAAATGAATAAACAGTATGTCAGTGTTAAAATGAATAATTCGAATATCAATAAACTAAATATACTCGATTTACCCGATGAAATATTACTAATCATTTTCAATAAACTGAAAACGGTTGATGCTATCTATTCACTTGTGGACGTTAATGAACGATTTAATCGATTAGTATTTAATTCACTTCATATTCGCAAACTTGATACGACCAACATGGTCATAAAATCATATTATGATCGTAGATTTTCAATAGACAATAATATTCTTTCGAAAATATGTGAAAAAATCTTACCTCGAATTCATCATCAATTAAATGAACTTATAGTTGAACAAAATTCAATGAAATATATTCTTCTTACTGGTAATTATCCTCAACTTGACTCATTATCACTTGTTAATTTTCAAAAAGAAATACTTCTTCAATATTTAACAGGTAGATTATTTGTATTAAATAATAAAATGAAACACAAAATTCATTGTCTTTATTTTTTAAATTCTCAGGTAATTCAATTCTTCATCATCTTTTCACTCAACAAATTCAATATCTTAATATTGATGTTTCATATGATCCAAAATCAAAAGGATCTAAAATTCTATCAAGTATATTTGCATTGTTTTTATCTATATGTAAACAACTAATCAATTTGAATTTTTGTCAATTGTTTTATGATCGGAAGACTCCAATTTGTATTTATAAGTTCCCATTAACAAGTTGTATATCTTCGACTTTAATTAAATTAAAAGTTAATGTTGCAACTTTTGATGATTGTCTTTATCTTCTTGATGGACGTCTCAAACATTTATCAACATTGATTATTGATGTGAAAGAAATATTTTTGAGTTTCTCAGATAAAAATAAGGTATAATATAATTTCAACAAATCTTGTATTTTTTTGAGAAGAGAAACAACTTCTTAATTCTATTTTCATTATAGAAAAAACTTCCCGATTTGAAATGCTTCTCATTGACTTCAATGAAGGACACACGTCATTATGACGATCAAATTATTCCATTACTTCGTCGAATGATAAATCTTAAAGAATTGACATTATTCTTATTAGTATTAAAAAATGACTCAATTTATATTGATGGTATTCAATTACATGATCAAATTCTTATTTATATGCCACAATTGAACAAATTTACATTCAGTATAAACACAGTTATTGTTAATGAAGACATCAAAATTGATCGTCCATCAAACGAAGATATTCAACATAGCTTCATTGGGAAAGGATATGGACAAGTTGGTTCATATGTCCATTATAGACAAGAACGCAATGTAGGCACATCGCATGTCTATTCACTTCCATATCAATTTGAATATTTTTTTCATCTTAACAACTCTTTTCAAGGTGATATATTTGATACAGTTCAATGCTTAGCAATGACTGATGGACGTCCTTTTGAACATAATTTATTCAAACTTATCTCTCAATGTTTTCCTCTTTTGAAAGAATTACGTGTTGTTAATTATCAACCACAAAAAAATAAGCAACATTCATCTATATTAATTATATTTCCTCGTCTTATTCTTCTCAATCTGATTGAAGCACATGTAGATTATGCTGAACAACTTCTCTATGACAAAAATACTCATCTGCCTGCTTTGTTAGATCTATGCATTGGATACAAATCACTCGCAATGATAACAAACAATTTTACCAATGATGCAATATGGCGCAATTGTGCTAAAATAGAAAAACTTCATGCAAATTCGTTTTTATGATCAAAAATTTTCATCAATATTTTGCTTTATTATAAATATTAGTTTTGTTAGAAATTTTTTCAATAAAAGAAAGTAGTTTGTTAAAATGAAATATACAAAAATCAACTAAAATGAAACCATAATATAATATATGATTATTTTTTTTTCATATATATATTAAGTAGTATTTCAACAAAATAGTTGTACTATTTATATACACATTTAGCTTCACTTTCAAAATTAATATAAACACGAATAATATCATTTTTACTAACAGTAGCACTTTTGAATTTCAATTCGAACCTAATTAATATGATGTAATCTCACATGACAAATAAACTAACTTATTGTAAAAATAATGTTTATTTGTGCTAAATAATCTTCGCTTGCACATGAAATTCCTACATATATGTTTTCCAAGTGAATGAATCCATTTGGATCCTGTTAAATCCGATCAGCTATCAGCATTCGATGGAAATTTTCGGATGGTCAAATTCATTGATCAACCCGATGCTCGGATTCTAACATACATGTCGTAAAATTTAATATTTGAATATGATAGATACAATGACGTTAGGATTTCGAAAGAGTTGTGATGTATTTTCAAGTCTAACAGATATCGAATAAGATCCAACATTCAATCTTTTGGGGTATCAGCTCATTCATATAGTCAATTGTAAAAATATAAGTGAAGATTAAATCATATAGAAAATACTCGATTAAATGAGTTCAACAATTATACTAGAAATTTTCATCACGTTTTTCTATCCGTGTTCAGCTAATTACTTTTAGATTTCGACATTAGAATGCGATCAGAATCGACATTAAGATTGAATCAGTTTCCAATACTAGAATTTGATCAGATGCTAACACGAGAGATCAGAGTGTGATTCTCTCATTCGGTTTCCGACAATATTTCTGCAAGAGTCTATCATATTTTACAGGATTCTGATAAAATTCGATCGGAATTCGATCTGCCTTTTTACATTATTCCATTGTTGCATTGATTCTCTTCAGGTCACAAGATATTTTTCTCAAATTCTCCAGGAGCAACGCGAAGAAGTCAAAGAAGGGGGCAGTACTTTCGAAAATAGAAGAAAGATGTCTTAGGTCAAAGTCTTCCTGTCAGATTCCAAGAATTCCAATAGGATTCTGCCGAAATTCTTGATATCGGAGTCTCAGTGATTGTCAGAATTCGATATCAAAGATTTCGACAAAATCCGATGATTTTCCAATAGGATTCGATAGTCGATTCTGTCGTCCTGTGGTGGTCCAATAGAAGCATGTCATGAAACAATCGAAAGCAAATCGACATCATTTAGATTTTTTTTTCTTTAATGAGAAACATGCAAGAAAGTTGGGTCAAAATTTTACACATATTTATAGATGAACTCGAAACCATTTGCTGAATAACAAATATTAGTGTTAGCTCCTAAAAACTGTTTTGATGATGTGTCAATTTTTATTAGCATAAACGCTTGTCGGTATTTTTCGCCACCGAAGGCAGTCATGCTCACGCCAACTATTAAACAATAGAGCTACTATCGGATTACGATACAAGTTCTCGAGCTCGTATTAAGTTATTAAAAAATAAAAATAAATCCATTTTACCATCGGAAGCGACAGAGATTATAACTGCATTTGGAGATTTAGTCATCACAGAAGTTATAGAATTAGTTCTGCCATTGTGATAATATTTTGAACATATTTGCAAACTTATCTATTATCAACAAGGATAATAAAATTCACATGATGAGAAACTGCAGCAAGACGTAGATGAAATTTTTGTTCAAAATTGAAAAAAGTTTAGTTTTTCCCAAAATCGAAGAAAATTTAAGAGTAGTTTCATCCAATATTGCAGAAAATTTGTGGTGAATTTTCCAAAAACTGTAAATTGAAGAGCATTTACTGACAAATTTGGAAAAAATTTTCTTCAAAAACTCGAAGAAAGCGATGATCAAATTTCTCAAAAACAGAAGTATCCTCTCCCCACATCCCCCCGCTCATGCTGCTCCTGAAATTCTCTCATGAATTTGCTCGCCTTTTGAAAAAATACGATAAAAACATGATTTGATAGTCATATCTAGATTATTACGAATATAAAGAAGATTAAGTATTAAATGATCAAATTGTTCATTAATATCCACAAGTGAATAGAGAACATTGACCATATTCAGTTTTTCAAAAATAAGGAGTAAAATTTCATTGAACAATTGAAATGTATTGAGATGGTTGTTGTTTGAAGTATTCATGTCTAACACACATATTGTTTATTTGCATCACTCTCTTTATGTCTTCATCTTCTGATAGCGGCCTGTAAGAATAATAAAAGATAGATATTGATGCCTTAATACTCGTCTACGATGAATAGCTGATGGATCATAGAAGATTTCTTTTTATCTAAGATTTTTTGTTATTCATTACTGTTTCATTCGTTATTAGAGGTGTCGTATTATACTTAACTGAAAAACTAAGTGTAATATGACATCCTTATTCGTCATATCATTTTTGTATCATCACAATGTTTATTATGTAGTGTAGTCTTTGTAGCACATAAACTATGTTTAGTATAAGATATAGTATATCAATTAGACATTAGAAATCTATTCAGAAATAGTTAAAGCTAGCATTCACTAAAAGACTACTATTAATTTTATTTGGTTAAATTAAAAAACAAAAAAAAAATAAATATTCTAAAAATGTAAGAAGCAGAGATCGTAGCTGGTTGTGTCGCATTTATTAATGTGTGAAACCAAGATCGAAGGTGTTTTAGAAGTAAGATGAAAATTTGTACGGAAGTTAAATGTTCTATTGCGTCCGAACGAATTATTTTATATATGACGCTAATCTTAGTCTAACTCAAGAGAGAAGATCAAATTTTGCGACATCCGTTGTCTCAATTAGTTAAACAATTAGATTCTTGAAAATTCTTTTAGGATTTATGCACATACATCGAAGTAATTTTGTCTACGTTTGAGTGAAAATGATGACTGAACTGTGACTAAGACAAAAGGAATTATTGCGACTAAGACAAAAGAAACGTGATCTCATATATCTCGAGTGAAATCACTTAGAAATCATTGAATCCAACATAGACTGAGATCAAAAAATAGTGTTCAGTCAACTCTTGATTTTATCACATTGTCTTGAGACAACTTGTGTAAGAAAAGACGATTTTGCCGATGTTTTCAATATAGAGAATAAATTACCTTTATATCTATAGCTTTCTTCTATTAGGTTACATATGTAAAACTTGTTCTTGGAGCACTGAGAAAAAGATTTTTTCATTTTTCGAGTCAGTTTAGATCTAGTAAGAAAGAATTTTGGATAAGATCGTGGGAAAAACGACATGTAATGGCCTTTGAAAAGAAGATAATTTACAGCTTACGCTTATTTTAAAATTCTTCTAAATTTTAAATTAAAGAAAAAGGAAAGTAAAAATAAATGTTTCAATATGTAATAAAAATTCGTTAAAATCTTTTGATGATAATTCAAGAAAGAAAAGAATATAAAACTACAAATGATGTTATTATTTCATATGAGTTTTTTTTATTCATCAGTTGACTAGCATTAAAAAAAATAATAAATGTCAACAACGAATGACATTTATCGTTTGATGATGTAGTTGTCCTAAATATATAATCAACATAATATTTCACCATTAAAATAATCAGGTATATATTTAACTGAATTCAATTAAATAAAAAAAATACCAAAAACTAAATAAAAATGGTAGAAACATAGTTTTAATGCAAGATTATTTGAATAACTCAAATAAAAATATCGTTAGTATTTGTTAGTTAATAAGGAATTTTGAGGATACATATTTCTTAAACATATCAGTTATTTTTCGGATAACGCGTACTATATTTTATATCTCTTTGAAATGTTTCAATTTATTGATTAAAGTAGTCGGATGATGTTGTTATCGTATCTATCAGTAACAAAGTCTTTTTAATATTAATTCGTCTAATCTCTGGCCATGGTAAAAAAAGGTTCAGATTCAATCGTCTAATGGCAGAGTAATAAAATTCTATGTAGGCAGGGACGACGCGACCGAGGGGGGAATAGCGGGGTTACCCCCTCCTGCTTCGGAAAATTTTGATTGGAGCTTTCTCCGAATTTGAAAATTTTGGTAGCGCCAATTTTCTCTAAATGTGCGGAATCATTAGATGATTTATCCGATTTTGGAGGAATAAAGTAGACAATTTATCCTATATTTGGCAAAAATCTAAGTTTGAAGAAATTTATTCTACTATTTTTTTCGATTCTTGAGATGTTTTGAACTACATCAATAATCTAAGTTCGTGTTTAAGCGAGAAATTAGTATTATAACTAGATGCATCTGTCATCAATAGCAATATGTGATACGTGGATGTTAACGATAACTGAACGAAGAATAAAATTTTGAAAAAAAAGAAAACATCAGATTTTTTGTTGGAATCCTCGGTATAATATTGCGTGAAGTGCGGTCAGAGTAGTCCAAGGAATGCTGGAAAGTCTGCTTCGAAAAGAAAGCGATGACAACCAAAAAAGTTTAGAGTCTTTCTCCGAATTTAAGCAGAGTGAGAACGTTCTTTTTTTGCTCTTCAATTTTGACTTTTTGGGATTGAAGGCTTCGATTTTCGAGATACCCCCTCCTGCTCTGACCTCTTCGCGCCGTTCCTGAGTAAAAATATCTCATATCGCAGTGCAATCAAAATGAACAACATCTAGAAAAAATCAACGAATACAATGTATGTTAAACCAGAATTTGATAGTTCTGAATACATTTTCGTTGAAACAATAATTGAAAAAAGAATGAAAACAATTAATCCTGAAAAATCTAATTTATAACAATCAGAAGCATCAAAACAAAGGAAACTCATTAAATTAGATAAAATAAAATTTCCTAAAGAATAAATTTTCTTTTCTTTTATTTAACTTTTAACTTTTTCATTCGGATGAATCTAGTCGTGATATATCTGCTTCAATGTTTTATCAAATATCAAAGAAGCAAATACTATCGAAGATTTATTAAAAATTTCTTGACAGATATGTTGTATCAACAAAATTTGCATTAATTTTACAAAAAAATATGCCATTTATCATCAATGGATAATAGTGATACTATTCAACGTTTATGCACAATCAGATGCTGCTTGCAATCGTATAGAATGACTTTAAATTAGTTTTGTAAGTTATTAGAAGAAAATCTTTTTGAAAAAAATAAATTTTTGTTTTTCTTATTTATAGTTAGGCAAATTTGCTGATAATAAAGTATTGACAGCTATTACATTTGGCATAAAATATTATTTAGAAGATAATCAATTTACTGATACATTTTCTCTTTCACTTGCTAATCGTTTAAGATGTACTAATGTTCATTAAGTATATATTTAGCTTTTTAAAAATCAATTTTTATTTTAGAAATATTTTTTTCTTTTAGATTGTTTGAATTACAACATTTCCAGCTAAAAATCAATATCCGCAAATTAGTGTTGTTACGTCAAGTATGATATTTATGAATGTGATTTCTTTTTTATTATTCATCAATCAATATTTATAGTTTTATATTTAGATTGTTAATGGTCGTAGATAAGATAACTGGGTACAACACAAGATTTAAATACTTTTTTAACGAATGACGAAAGTAATGGTACTAATGGAAAAACAACATTTGATAAAGTACGCATTGATGAAAATCGTTTCAAGTAAGTTAAATCATTATTAGACAAAAAATAGAATTATTAATCTTTATTTATATAATTAGAATTTCACTTAAATATCTTGATTATCAAAAATCAAAACAATTTATTAAACCTTTATAGACCAAATATTTTTATTTGATTTTTTTTTCATTAAATTAAATAAATACATAACTTCATTTACACACAAAAAGATACAAAAAAAAAGAAAGGGTTTACAACATAGGAAATCGCAAAAAAAGCATAATCTTTGTCTTCATTATTATCATCAGTTGTTGTATTATGTGCTTTTGTTGTATGTGTGTCATAGTTCATGAAGAAGGTGTGACAATACTAAGGCATCTGCTACGTAACGGAAGAGAGGCATTGTTAAGATGTTTATCACAGCCTGTGATGGCAAGGAGTCGTTGATAAGAGTGTATATCATGGTCTGTGATAGAAGGAGGGGGTGTTGCTAAGGTCTGTGACGGAGGGAAGACTTTGCTAAGATGACTGTCACGATCTCTGGTCGAAGATCGGGACGGACGTTACTAATGGTATCTGTCACGGTCTGGGGGTAAGTCCAAATTTCTATCCTTATATACTTCAACACTCCTTTTAGATCGTGTTTTGCAAAGATACATGACATAAAATGCTTAATCATCTGTGCGTAAATGACGTATTATATTGAAAATATACATGAACGTGACAATAACGTTTTCTTCAGTACTCAAGTATATCTGAAGTTTCAATCGTTGAAAATTATTTTAAGAACTGACCAAATCTCTCAGTACAATTGACATGTTAAAAGAATTTTCTTTTATAAAAAACAAAAGCTTGATACCATTGATTATTAATCATAATTTCAAATTGAAAATGTTCTTTCTTTTTGTTTATATAAATATGATAATTACATATACATAGACAACAACAAAAAGACTTGTCTTTTTCTTGCAAAATATGCATAGATACATACTAGAATCTTACCCATAACTTTTCTATGCGAGTCTTTTTTTTCTCTCCAGCACACATTTATATAGAACAAAATAGTTGAATAGAAGAAAAAGAAATGAGACTAACGTTCTTGTCAATTGATGAAAATTCAATAAATCGGATTAAGATGAACGAAAAAAAAACTTTTATTAAGATGAACATAAGAATCGACATATTGAAAAGAAAATATTGTATAAACATGAACACAAGGAATCAATATATCGAAAAGAAAATATTGTAATTAACATGAACAGAAGAATCAATATATCGAAAATACAACAGTGTTAATATGAATAGAAGAATCAATATATCGAAAAGAAAATATTGTAAAACATGAACAGACGAATCAATATATCGAAAATACAACATTGTGTTAATATGAATAGAAGAATCAATATATCGAAAAGAAAAGTTATTCATGAGATTGAAGCCATTTAATCGCTTGATTTATATCTCCCACTGATGCTATAAGAGCTGAAAAGAAAAGAAAAAGATTAATTTAAAAAAAAAATCAATCAATTACCTTGTAAATTTGCTTCACGATTAGTAAAACCCATTGAAACAAGTTGTTCTAATTGAACAGCATATTGTTGATCTGGTGGTGTATTCTTTACCATAAAAATCAGAAAAATAACAAAAAAAAACAAATCTAAATAAATATACCATATTTTGATTTGATATCATATTCGACATTTGACCAAATACACCTGCATGATTATTTGGATCATGTAATAATGATGTATTACCAATAGCTATTGAATCAAATGGTGTAGGTTGAGTAGTTGATGATGAAGAAGGTTCATTATTAGCTGGTAAAGATAAACCAGTTGGACCAAAACGAAGATTAGATAATAAATCATCGCTCAAATAAGTAAAAAAATTATTATTGTTTTTTTTATTCATAAACTAACATTTGAAATAGATTCGGTGCTGCTGCATGTAATTGTCGAAGTCCTATATATAAGATTATAAATTATTTTTAAATAAATCTAATTTTCTAACCTTGTTGAACTTGTGTCATAGCTTCAAGTACTTGTTGATTTTGTATTAATGCTTGTATTTCAGGAATTCTCATTTTTTTCCATCATAGCTGGTAAAGCATTAATCATTTGTTCACGTAATTTAGGATTATTAGCAACCATTTGTCTTGATATATCAGAATAAGTTGCACGTGAATCCATTAATGGTTGTATATATAATGCATTAAAAATACATTCAAGTAAACAAGAAATCCGAACTAATTGTAACCTATAATTTTGCATCATTGAAGATATTAAACCAGGTGAACTACTACTGGTATTAATCGAAATTGTTGGAGCTGCTTGTTGTTGTTGTTGTGGTTCAGTATTTGCTGAACTAGTAGGTTGTTGTGGTTGAGTATTTGTTGAACCAGTAGGTTGTTGTGTTTGAAGAGGAGATGCAGCTGCTGCACCAGTACCACGACGTGCCCAATGATTTGGTATTAGATACATATTTTCAGTCCGTGATATTATTGTATTTTCTATGTAAAAGAAAAAAATAGAGAATAAAAAGAAGTTTTTTCAATACCTCCATTGCGAGTGAATAATTGTGCAAATGAATTATTATCAAATTGTCCTTCGGCTGCGGGATATATTGGTTTTTGTACATAATGATAAATACTTTGTAAATCATTTAAACCGCATGATGACATACTCTATTGAAAAAATAACAAGTTAATAATAATAAATTCGTAAAACTTACTATAAAATTATTTAAACCACATTATGATTACACATAAGTTCAAGTAATGTTGCTGGATTATTAAGTAATAATGAACGTAATAAACCAGGATTACGAAATAATAATGAACAGAATAAATAAGGATTACTTATTATACCTTGTACAATAAGATTATTAATTATTTGATAAACTTGACCTGGTAGATCATTCAATATCTAATAAATATAAAAGAAAAATTAGTTATGTTTTTCTTTTGGTATTTATTATTTACCGCATTAATACTTACTTCATCATCTTCTTCATAATATTCTTCTTCATTCTGTCCATCACCATTATCATTATTTGAATATGATAATTTTTCATTCGCAATTGTTTCATAACGAGTCAGGACATTTTCCAAATCAAATTTAAGTTGCTTTAACGCATATTCTAAAGCTTTAATATCTTCACGTTCGGCTTCCTTACGTATTGCGATGTTAATTTCTTTTTCGACTAGATCAATCAATAAATAAACCTGCTTGAGGGTGTGGGTGGGTGGATGTGGGTGTGGGTGGGGTGTGGGTGGGTGGATGTGGGTGTGGGTGGGTGGGTGTGGGTATGAGTGTGGGTGGGTGTGGGTGTGGGTGTGGGTGGGTGTGGGTGGGTGGGTATGGGTGTGGGAATAGTTCTTCTCCTGATATCAACACTCACACCCAAACCCATACCCATACCCGCATCCACACCCACACCCACCCACACCCACGCCCTTGATCGCCATAATAAATCTAAAAATAAAAATAAAAAGTTATTTAAATAAATTCTAACTGACTGTTATATTTATCGTTGTAAATGATCTAAAAATGAAAAATAAAATTCATGTGAATAAATTAATACTTACTGTCCTATTTATTGTTGTAAACAATCTAAAATTAAAAACAAAATCTCTTTAATGGCATCCCACTTAAAAATCGATCTCAGACCAGGAACATTCTAATTGCATGAAACTTTCAGGATATGTTGGGGCTGATATGAGAAGTCTACGATAAAATTTTCAGCCCTATGAAATGATGTTTGAGGGAGATATTGACCAAAGAAGGATCGAAAAATAGCTAATTTCGGTTTCAAAAATTCTCTATTGTCTTCACTGTATACATTTAGTTTTCTTTTGTTGGAAAGATTATGTGAGAATGCATTACTTAGGAGAGCCATTTTCTTAAATTCTTACTTTTTAAAGGGGAAAAAAAGGAATCGAAAGTTCAATGACTCAAACAAACTCAAAAAATACCGCTCTAATTGTATAAATGTTTGTATATATAATGAAAGCAAAGCTTAATAAAAAACGGACTCTCATAGACACTGCTGTTTATATGCTCTATCAAACAAAATAAATTATTGGCTACAATGAAACTCCTTCGAGAATTCTTGCAAATGCGATCGAAAATCTATAGAACGAGAAAGAGCGAAAAAGACTTTCTCCTTTTTTCGAAAGCAGCTTATTCTTCGAATAGGGAATAACGGAAATCTTCAAAACGTTTTCGAAAAAAACGAGATGCCTAGTAAAAATTTTTGTCGTTAGTGAGAGATCAGATCACGGACTCCTTTCCCCTGCATTTATCTTAATTTCGGTCATTCTGACGAAAAGTGACTTTTTTGAGGGGGCGTGGCTTTAAATAAATTAATAGTTGCTGTTCGTTTTGGTGTTAACATAATTTACAAAAAAAGAAAAACAGATTGTTTAGTTTAAAATAATATTTACTGTTCATTGTACGATCGTAACTGATATAATTATTCAAAAAAATTCTTTCACACAAAGAAAGTTACTTAGTTTTGAACACGACAAATATACGATCATATACGAGCGTCGTTTACGATGGGCGTTTGAAACGGTCGTTTACGACTATCGTATAGTACCGTATTGCATCGTATACGACCATCGTAAGTCGTCGTATTCCTTTTGTGTACGGTCGTTTACGATCGGGCTTTGTCAACCTGGGAAGCTAAATATTGTCCTAATCGTCTATCATATACTTCATTTTGTGGATCAAGTAAAAGAAAAATAAAATCAAAATGCGATAATAATGTTGGTGGTAATTGAATATTTTCAATAATTATTTTAAATTTATTCCATTGTGATTCAATTGAATTAGCTGCAGCTAATATTGATGTAAGAGCATTTAATTTACATATAATACCAGCTTTAGATATTGATAATGTTTGCTGTTCCTAAATAAACTTCATATTTTTTTTTGATTTATTTAAATAAATATATTTAATATACCATGACTTCATAAAGAATTGATCGAACACTTTCATTCATTTTATCAAATTGATCAATACAACAAATACTATTATCAGCAAGAACTAATACACCTCTAAAATAAATAGAAATTTTCAAGTAAAGAAAAAAAGAATTTATTTAGCCTTACGTTTGAAGAACAAGTTGACCAGTTTCAGGATCTTTTGTTACATATGCAGTAAGACCACCAGCACTTGTACCATTTCCATTAGTATATTGTGCACGAGGTACTAATCGAAATATGTATTGTTGTAATTGTGATTTAGCTGTACCAGGATCACCACAAAGTAATATATTTATTTGAGATCGAAAAGTTTTTCGTCCAGTATCAATAAAATTCTTTTTTGTTCCACCAAACAATTGCAATAAAATACCTTGTTTAATATCTTCATGTCCAAAAATACTTGGAGTTTAAAAAAACAATAGATTCTGTCAAAAAATTCGAGAAAAATTAAACATTATCATACCAATAGCATTTGATAATAATTCATATATATCTCGACGTTTCGATAAATGTCGAAATTGTGCTAAGCGTTCTTTAGAAAATTTTAATGAACTTAAGTCGATAAAAAAAAAAATTTTCAATAAAAAATTCAATAAAAAATTCATTTTACCTTGATTCTTCATAATCATTTGTTGTTTGATCTTCAATTCTACCTTCAGCTGTAAACGTTTTTTCATGACGAAAATGAATAACATCAATAAATGTACGACAAACAGATCGAACATATCGTGTTTTAGGATTTATATGAACTGGTACTGCACGAAATATACCAGTTACTTGGACACTAAAATATCAAGCAATAAAATAAAGTTTTATTCAAGTTTTTTCTTCGGAAGTCATGAGAACAAGGGGAAAAGTGCAGGTTTGGAACCTCTAACATCTCAGCATCTTTTCAGCATCCGTTGGTGCTGGAACTTAGTAGTAATGTCCATAGAGTTTTGGAAAAAAAATAGGAAATGAGGTTATAATTACGAGCGAATCATACTATTATAATCCGATTCTTTTCGATAAAAGTGAACTCCATCTCCGGGAGGGTTGTATCCTCTCACTAGATAAAACACTGTCATTAATAAATAAATTCTATACCGATCACCAAGTTGCACTGCATCAACTAAATCATTATATGCTACAACAGTTACAGTAACTAGTGTTTGTTCAGCAGGCATTTTCTCTAAAGAAAAAAAATTGAATATGATTAATTCATTTTCAAAAGAAGAAATAAACCTGATGTTTCTTGTAATTTAATCAATTGTTTATCAGCAAATAATGAACGATTATGAATAAGTTCAAATGAGTGTGTTTGTTTACATGATGTACATACAGTTGGTTCAGTAATTTGATCACGATCAATTTCAACTTGAACATGAAAACCACATGTATTACATGAAAAATATGCTGAGCGCATTTCAGGCATTATTGATGATGATCCAATAACCATGCCAGTAAGTGTAACTAATTTATCAACATCTAAATAAATTTCTTCATAACAAAAAAAAAGCATAAATTTCATTTAAAAATAAAACCTTCTGAATCAAGACAACGCATATTTTTAACCATATCAACATTATATGGTCGTACTTGAATTTGATGTGGAAGTGTATTATCTTCATAAATAGTAAAAAGTAATTCACTAACAGCTATATTAAATATAGATATAACTTCTTGTGGATATGAAAGTAATTGATTATACATTGTTTTATCAATTTGTTTTATATGTGTACAATCAACATTAAGAAATGTACCTTTAAGTAAATGAATTTCATCTAATTTTTGTATATAAAATGGTTTAGGTGGATCAACACCTTCAAGATTTGTTTCTTCAATATTTAAATGAAATTTTTCCAAAAATGATATAAATTGACGTTTACATTCGCTGACATTTACATCTGTACCGTAAATAAGAACTTGATTATCAGCTGTATTTACATTAATATCACCTTCCTAAAATTAAATTTTTTTCTTCTTTTCTTTTTCAATTATTTCAATGAATGAATTTACTAATTTCTCTTGTTCATTAACTAAACGCAATTTTCCTACACTAGTAGGATCAGATCGAGCTCGAAATGGTGTTGACATTAATGTACAATCGCTACCACCCATATTACTTCGTACAGGTGAGGATGTAAATGCCATGCCTAAAAAGAGATTTTTTGTTTATATTAAAATAAATCTCGATTTTTGTTTGGTGTTCGACCTGGTGTAAAAGGCATTGGAAGAACAGAACTTGGTGCTGCACTAGCAACTGGTTCATCTTCTCGTAATGTTGTTAATGGATTAGGATGTTTAGCAACTAAATAAAATATTTAATAGATAAAATTAAATAATAATAATAAAAAAAAAAAAGGTTTCGTCCGTGTTCGTTGCGTCGAACCAGATGTCTGTTTACCCGGTGTACGATCTTGTTTTGATGGAGTATCATTAGATTTTGATGGAGTTGTCATCTAGAAGAAAATTAATGAAATAAACATACGTGAAAAAGAATTGACATGGTTTTATTGATCAATTGCACAATAACAAAAATTGCGATGATAGCCGTCTATATATTAAATAAGACCATGAATAAAGAACCGCGAATTAAATTTTAAATTCTTTGTTTTTCGTAACTATTTATTATCAATTTAAATTTTTCTTTTTGCAATTATTTCTTTATGTAATGTATATTTGAATATTAACTCATAATTAAAAAAAAAGAAAAAAAAAAGATGTCGCACGTTTCCCTATGCATACGAAATTTCAGAGAAGTATTATTTTTGACAATCTGTTGTTTATAGATACCAACAACATCGTTAGAGAGGAGGATTGTGATGATTGGTCTCCCTCCAAAAAAAATTTGTGCTATCAAATTATATAATCATTGTTTTTTAAACATCAAAAAAAGAATTCTTTTAATATTGTGATTGATATGTAATAAAAACCATTTTTTTTTGTCTGAACATAGTATTGAAAATAATTAGTAAAAAAACAAAAAGATATTAGTACTTGTTTCGTACAGAGCTGCCGGCCTGCCCTGCGGCCTGGCAGGCATCAGACCAGGCCGGATTTTGAAATTATAGCCTGGCCTGATCGGGCCGAACAATTTTTGGCCTGGCCTGCAGGCAGGCCAGGCTAAACTTGGTAGCCTGGGTCATTTTATTGTGTACTCAAAAAGTGAGTACACTCTAGAATCGGTCAGTATGTCCGTCCGTCCGGCCGTATACACGATAACTTTCGAAAGGAGAGTCCGATCGCGATGAAATTTTCTACATAGTTTAGTCTTAACAATATCTCGGTCGAGTTCGAAGATGAGAAGGATCGGCCGAGCCGTTCCTGAGTTATTGCAAAAAGACTCATTTTTTCCTATGGTTTCCTATGGGAAAATCGACCCATCGCCGCTTTCGTAAAAGACTTTTCCTATCATAGTCAACTAAAACCCCAACTATTATATACCATTCGATAGAGAATTTCAAGAGCTACAAAATGGTATATAAAACATAAAGACACAAGAAGGCTGACTCACCTATCACAAAGATAATTAAACAGAACTGGGTTAGATTTTTGTCCACGATCTATTTGATCCACAATTAGAGCTCTATCTTCCGATCACAGTGATGATGCTTCGAGGTTTTCTGGGGTAGAGAACTCGAATCTGTACTCCAATTCCATCGAAATACTATTGGTTGAGCAGTGACCAATAGAAATCAAGTTATCGGAAAAACGACTTTCCTAGGGTAAATCAAGGCGAAGAGTTCAAATCTGAGCTCTATTCATCTCTAAATCCTAGTGGTTGAGCAGTAGCCAATAGAAATCAACTGTTTATAGAAATGGCTTGCCAGGATAATTTTTATGCCCACACATTCTAGGATGACTAATCAGTCTCATTCACTTTTTTGTGTACTCAAAAAGTGAGTACACTCTAAAATCAGTCAGTGTCCGGCCGGTCGACCGGCCGACCGTTTACACAATAATCCGTGAAAAATATCATCCGATTGTGGTGAAATTTTGCACATAGAGTTGTCTCATCAATATCTCGGTCGAGTTCGAGGATAAGAATGATTGGCCGAGCCATTGCTGAGTTATTGCAAAAATAGTCATTTTTCCCTATGTTTCCCTATGCGAAGATCAACCTATCTCCGCTTGAGTCTATGGGCTTTTTTATTTCAAACTGAATTCTAAAATCAAAAAAACCGCACCAACTTCTTCCGAATCAAACTTTTCTCGTTTGATACTACGTAGTCCCACTAAAAACCCTTAGTCCCCCCTAGTCCTGCAAAGTCCCCCTTAGTCCCCCCCACAAAAAGCTCAGTCCCCGTTTAGTCCCTTGTGCAGGGGACTAAAGCCTATAGTACACAAAGCCACAAGCACACCCTCACCCTCACTTGCGCGCCCACACCCGCACCATGGGTGTGGGTGTGTGTGTGGGTCCCAGACCAACACCCACACCCTCAGTCACTCCCCTCCCTCACTCCTAGACTCACGTTTCAGTTTGAAATCAAGTATTATTTTTATTTGATAAATTCAGACTGAAATTAAATAGCCCATAGTATGCTCCGCTTTCGTAAAAACATTTTCCTGTCATAGTCAAATAAAACCCCAACTATTATATACCATTCGATAGAGAATTTCACGAGCTACAAAATGGTATATAAAACATAATGAAACAAGAAAGCTAACTCACCTATTGCAAAGATAATTAAACGAAATTCGGTTCTGTTCTTGTCCACGCTCTAATTGATCCACAATTCGAGCTCTGTCTTACGATCACAGAGATGATAGTTCGAGGTTTTCTGGGGTGGAGAACTAGAATCTGTGCTCCATTCGCCTCGAAATCCCATTGGTTGATCAGTAACCAATAGAAATCAAGTGTTTATAGAAAAGGTTTGCCAGGATAGTTTTTATGTCCCCACATTCTAGGATAACTCATCTGTCTCATTCACTTTTTGAAGTACATATAACTCTCGGATTTAAATCCGAGGTTTCCACATTTTTTGTATTATTTTTTCTCATCAATTTTATCAAGACAAATACATTCAATTCTGGCAACTAGTACTGATATAGAATGGCAGTTTAGTATTGTAGTCGGAAGATTAAAAAAAGAAGATATATGGTGGATTCGGACATCCAACCCGACAGTATTCAGAACTTGACGGGCATCCTGACG